AAGAAAGAAAAAGACGAGAAAATTTATCTTCCTACCCTCTCTGGCAGACTCTTTTTTCTTTCACCAGAGTTTATAATCATCTCTCCCTTCTGAGCAACAGGCAGAGCCTGCCACCATTCATCCCCCCGTCCTCTGCCCCCCTTCTCTCTTCCTTTTTCCTTTTTTTTTTTTTTCCTTTTTTCTCTGGAAAAAAAAATCATGTACACTAAGCTGGTACCTCCTTATTTAAGAAAATGAGTGATTAATTTTCTCTTCCATTGAATTCTGGATCTTAAAGCTAATCTCTTCCAGGCTTCTCGATTTCTTTTGCATAATTAAAAATGCAAATGTTCAAGTATTTTTAATCCATAAAGAATTAATCAGTCACATCACAAAGTCCTCTCTCCCTCAGCACTCGCTCCTCTGAAAAGATAGGTCGGCCCTCAAGCCCGCGAGGAAGAAGTCGTATACCCAGGTTCGAGTTTGGACAGTTCCGAAGGAGCAGACAATTTAAGGGAGAGAAGCTGCCGGGAAAGATACCCAGTTGTGAATTTTTGTTTTTTTTAAATTTGTTTCTCGGGACTTTTACTAGGTGCCTTATCTTGGTGCAGGAAAAGTAAATGACTTTGGGAAGTGACATAAAAGGGACAGGACGCTCAGAATACAAAGTAGGGGCTGCACGCTAGCTGCCAACAGACCTATTTTGGAGAATTTTGGAATTAAAGTAAGTTACAATATTACATTGCGGGGGGCCAGGCAAGAAACTGTATTTCTGAATTCTCTTAAAAGCAAGCGGTACGAGGCCTGCGTCCCTTCTGGCCAACAATCTACCGTAACCAAGGGCCCTACTCTGTCCACCAAGGCTCTTGACACTCTGTGTGTCACAGAACGTACATGGGCTCTTCTAGAGCAGGGGAGTCGCCTTGGTCCTTAGTTAATTGCTGTGTAGGCATTAGGATTTGCCCAAGTCTGAAGCCAGCATTTATAGGGTGACCAGATTTTAACATATGTAAGGCGGGACAACATGGCCGGGGGCAGAGCGGGGGCGGGGGACGGGGCAGGGCAGGGCCTGACAACAATGCAAACTTTGATAAGCAGCTCTCCGTAATCACTTCTCAGCAATTATTTATCACAGTTTAACATTATAAAATTAACAAAAATAATATAAAACTCATATTCTGGCGAAATAGCCATATGGCGGCCGAAGACCGTATATTCTCTTCTTGTTCTCCAGCCCGTTCGTGCATTCGTTCCAAAAATCGGGACTTTTTTAAAACGCGGCGGGACACAGGACAAATTGTTGAAAATTGAACCTGTCCTGCCAAAATCGGGACATCTGGTCACCCTAAGCACGCATTGTCTTCACCGTGCTGAACGTACCTGTAGAACTTTCTGAATAAAGTATGTAGAGATTGCTGGGCCCTGCACGGGACGGAATGGATCAGAGTATCTCAAGCTGAGCCTGGGCAAGCAGCACTTTTTTTTAAACAAGCCGTCAGGATGGCCGACGTAGGCACATGCTGTGACGTGGGAGGTGGCTGGGTTAGCACACCCGGGGGGCACAGGTGCAAGACAGGCTCCCGTGCTGACCTGCACAGAGGCTCAGGGCTGCGTTTTTGCATGAATGGCTACATTTGGGAAGTACGTGGCAGTATCCAGTCTGAAGGTTTGGAACCGTCGTGCTCATGCTGTGCCATCTACCTCTGGCCTCCGTATAATCCGGGGTCACACTGTTCTGTGCACCTGTGTTACGAAGCTCTGTACTGTGTGATCTGGGGCTACCTTTCCTTACTCTGTGAGAAAAAGGGGTAGATCGTTACTGAACCGAAAGCAACCCTCTTCGTTTAGTTAAAACATGAAAGGAAGTTCTAACCAGGTAGCAAAAACTAGCGTGTAAGGAGAGGCTGAGGATTAGTCCTGATGAACACTTTCTTATGTCTGTCGGTGTGGATTTCTTTTCTTTTTACACAAAAATCCTCTTTTGCCCCCTTCAGCATCCCTCTCGTGCAGACTGTCTGTAAATCATGATTTGCTGACTGCTCATTAAGAGGATTTTGTCTCATCCATCCATCTGATCAGTCTAGGTGGTGTTTTTATTATCCTCACCAATAACAATAATAATAATAATGAACAACTTTTAAGTTGGCAATGAACCTCAATATACACTGACTGGGATGTGCAGGGATTAGTCACGATTGCTAATGAATATTTAAAATCTCCTTTCACTTTCCTGGCAGAAGAGCTAACCAGGAACTCTAGAAGTCCAAGTTTGAATTATTGGCTCGTTACAGACTGGCCTGAGAGTCAGAACTAAGCAGTTGCGATGGTTTCATCTCCCGAAGCCAGGATTTCACCTCCAGGCTGCCAACTCTTGTTCCCCAAGGGTCCTTGATGGTCTTCCAGTCTTTGGAAATCATCATCAATCACGAAAGCCATGGCAGCCTGTTTTCCAACTCCAGCCATTAAAGTTGCTTTGCTCATCACAGACGACTCTGTCAACTTTCTCTGGAGCACCGGGTGAAAGAGAGCAAAGGAAAACAGGGTGAAACGGTGGTTACACTCACTGCCCAGATTTGGAAACAAGAGCAGACATAACTTTCACCCCTTCTCTTTCACTGCGGGGAACACTGAGAGCGTCAGAGTTTAAAGTGCTGGACGCTGGGTCAGCTCCCTTTGTTGACACAATGGGCTTGCAGTTAATCACAAATAGTAGGAGGTCAGTTTCCTTCAGTGGTTGGATTTCGTGAACCTCATAATTAGGGGCTTAACACTATCTTATGCTGCATGAAAACAACAGAGAAACACTTGTATTTAGACTTGTAAAATACGTTGTCAGTCAGGCCTCCTATAATCTTCGCTTAGAAGTATGCCAGGGACAAAAGGGAAGCACAGCTGGAAACATGATGTGACGATGAGATTCCCAAATGCTCAGCACCTTCCTATCTCTTTGTGTGAAGAACCATCCTCAGGCCTCCACAATTTCACATACAGAGTACGGAGCTGTATAGATTTGACATTGTCATGGGTGGCCAGTTCTGAAAATGTGCATGTCGGAACAATATAAGATGCTGTGTATATATTTTTTTTCAAAGCCAGTGGAAGCTACAAGCTGCCCACCTAAAAAGTACGGATGGAGGAAAGTTTTGAAGCTGTATCTAGGGGGACGGAAGCCTCACGTTGTCAGGCAACACATCTTACAGACAGGTTCCCCTTTTATGTCCTCGGGTTGATCAATTCAGAAGATTTGTCAAAAGAAAAACAAAGGGGGGGAGGGACAAGCACAGGCCTTCTGTGCTGATCAGTACACGTGGTGCGTGTCTGGTCTGTGAAAATTAGGTTAACTGAGGAAATGGTCAGGGAGGTGGGCAGCTATGGAGGTTCCACTGTATGTGACATTACATGTAGACATGTCTGTTTGGGAATTTTACACCCTCTACTGTGGTAAAATTTCTCTTTCCAAGATATCTCTCCCAAATGACATCATCCAGGAGGGGGGCAGGGCAGAGAGCTCAGGTACGCTGAGGAACCAGGGTAACGCACTTCCCAGGAAGAGACCTGGTCTTCCTAATAGCTTTGCAGCTTGGAGGGGCTGTTGAGAAATATAAGATGTGGTTCTTGTCCTCAAGACATCTGAAGTTTGGTTGGGGAGACAGTATATGCCTGATGGGTATGAATGGTTCCTCTAATAGGATGGATACAACTCAGGGCTTTAGCTCATGGAATAGACTAGAAAGTGCTCTGGGATTTAAGATTGATTTTAGGCTTCTATCTCTATGGCTGTTACAAAGATACTGGGTTTTTTGTTTGTTTGTTTGTTTTTTGTTTGGTTTTGGAGATAAAGTCTCACTCTGTCACCCTGGGTAGAGTGCCGTGGCAACATCATAGCTCACAGCAACCTCAAACTCCTGGGCTCAAGCAATCCTCTTGCCTCAGCTTCCCCAGTGGCTGGGACTGTAGGCGCCTACCATTCCCGGGTACCTGTTTTTACCCTATTTTTAGTAGAGATGGGGTCTTGCTCTCGTTCAGGCTGGTCTTGAACTCCTGAGCTTGAGCAAAGCACCTGCCTCAGCCTCCCAGAGTGGTAGGATTATAGGTGTGAGCTGCCATACCCAGCCAAAGATACTGTTTCTAAAATTTGTATGATTTTATTAATACAAAGGAGGGGTTTTAGAATCTGATACATATTTTATTACGTGACAATAGAGCGTAGAGAAATGACCTTTATACAAGCCTCTTAGCTTCTGGGAATGTCAGTTTCTGTATTTGTGTGTGTGTGTGTGTGTGTGTGCGTGTGTGTGCGTGTGCGCATGAAATACTACCTTTCCCACTTATAGGCTCTTGGTGAGGATAAACAAAATCCAGTACCATACAAAAAGAAGGCAGCATCATTAACTAACTGAATGAAGCTACCGCCTGAACTTATTTTTAAAACTTCTCGTTTTCACTGTAAGAGTTGTGTTTTGTTCATAGACCTCTGATGACTCGTAACGGGAACTTCAGCTAATGGCATTATAAAATAATAATGCACATTCTTGCAGCTGTGTTTTATGGTGTCATCTTCACCTGATTAGTACAACTGTCATATTTAGAGTACAATTATTTATCTCCACTTCGTATGTAAGGAAACTGCAGCTCCGGAGCATCAAGTGCTGTGGTCTGAGAAAGCGGAGGAGCCCGGACTAGAACCTGGTATTTCTGACTTGCCGAGAAACTTCCCCACCACAGCGGGCCAGATAACAGGAGGGAGACGAGGTGTTTAAACAGTGTACAAATAAAAGGAATATCTGCAAATACTGCTCACTCTCTTGAATATCTGCTTGAAAAAACTTCAGTAAGCCTTAATCCTAAGAACAAAGTGAAAACATGCTGAAAATGCCCAGAGGATTGTTTGAAAAATTTACTTTCTCATAAACAGCATCATTTCCTAGCAAGTTGCCGGGTTTTTTTTTCTTTTCGTAGCAACTGCAGTTCCCGGATCATATTTCTGAAGGGTGTTCACCGTTGCCCTGTCTCTCTTTCAGTCACAGATCAACGCCTAGCAACCATGATCGGATACAGCGTCTGCGGCAGGAATTCCAGCAAGCGAAGCAGGATGAGGACGTGGAGGATCGGAGACGCACCTACAGCTTTGAACAGCCCTGGGTAAGTTTCGGGTTCCTGGGCTTCCCTGCGGTAGAGGCCGCCAAGCTGTGCCCTCACTCCTCCATGAAATGCGACAGGCTGGAGCCTCATTCCTTTGACCTTTAACGTTTTGACCTTTCCCTCATCTCCATCTGCGTTTCATCATGGCTAATTTCATTTCATATCTTGTGCCACCATCTGTCCATCACATAACAGGTCTCATCCGCCTTGTGACGGGACACGGCAGAAGTATTCTAGCTCCCAATTATGCAGTTTTTTGTGTATTTTTCTGCTCAGAAAGATGAGAATGCAACTAAGGAATCAGAGCCCAAATGAATGAATCTAGCACCTGTCTATTTCCTCTATAATGTACAATAGTGTTTTGTAATTCCTGATGGTTTAATCTCCCTCGTCCTCCGTGTGTATTTGTGAACCCCTCTCATTTGTGTCTCCCCACCTTTATTCTCATCCATCTCCCGTACAGCCTCCAGAGTGATCTTTCTAGAACAAAAGTTTGAATGCTTTCTCCACACCAGACCCATATCCTGATGAGATCAGGCCCATTAAGGGTGGTACGGCCCTAGGCAGACCCATCCTCTAATCTTGTGTTTCACCCTCGAGATGATGGCACTTCTGGGAAAGGGGGTGTTGGAGGTTTGAGACAATGGGGAGGGTTTGAGGAATCTCTCTGGGAAACTTGATGGTGAGTCAGTTAGGGGTGGAAAAAAATAAGCTGCTTGAGGTAGGAAATGTAGCTCAGAGAATTAGGAAGGCTGATCAATGTGGCAATACAACATCACCAACAATGGTTATAGGTCTGGGAATAGAAAGAACAAACTCAAAGATTAATTCTATGAAGACGAGACCGACATGGAAGACAGGCAGTCAAGGAAGGCTGCTCAAACCCTAGCGAGGCCCCTGCTGAAGCATCGCCCAGTCTGGGTGAGGACAAGTGCAGCTCAGGAAGGATCATCTTCATAGCCTGGGAGTCTACAAGAGGGGCCAGAAGTCTGGTGTTACCAACATGAGGAGGGGGTGGTCTGAGCAGTGGTTTTTTTTTGGAGGTGGCTCGTTTCTGGATGACGCAGCGGTCCAAAGGACGCTGTCTGTGCACACGCGTTACAGACCAGGGGAGATCAGAGTCCGTAATCTGATGCATTCAGTTCCAAGTTGAGAATGTAATTGTGCTAGATATCTGGGAGAGTTGGTGTTAGGAAAAGACTTGAAGTTTTATTTAGGGAAGGGTTAACTCTGTGGCTGAAGTAGAACTGAGAGGTTGGTTGTATCAGAGGGGAGAGGAGGTTCCAGGTGGCAACATGGGGGGAGGCTTCAATGCTGGACTGAGAGATTGAGGAAGGATGTTTCCAGGATGGGACACCAGCCCCCTAGCCGGGGACCTGGCTCTCCAGGACTCAGTTTTCTCATTTGCAGACTAACAGGATTAGAAAAGGTGATTGTCAGTTACTCGACCCTTTGATAAGATGAAGGGCCCCAACTCAGCTCCTGTAGCTCAGCGGGTAGGGCATCAGCCACATACACAAAAGGTGGCAGGTTCCAGCCCAGCTGGGCCTGCTAAACAACAGTGACCACTACAACCGAAAAATAGCCGGGCGTTGTGGAGGGCACCTGTAGTCCCAGCTACTCGGGAGGCTGAGGGGAAAGAATTGCATAAGGCCAAGAGTTTGAGGTTGCTATGAGCTGTGATGCCACAGCACTCTACTGAGAGCAACATAATGAGACTGTGTCTCAAGAAAAAGAAAAGATGAAGGACCTGATGGTGAAATGAAGCCAAGCTTGCAGAGCAGATGCAAGTGGAGCTCCTCTGCTCAAATACAGAGGCCTGGTGGGTCCAGTTACCTGCTGCTGTAGGTCAGGGCTTCTCAAAGTGTGGTCCACGGAATGGTACCCTCAGCATCGCCTGGAAACACATACACAGTCCTGGGCCCTGCCTTGGCCCTCCTAGAACTGAATCTTTATGGGTGGGGCTCAGGAATCTGTATTTAACGGAACCTCCAAGCAATTCTGAAACAGGCTCTACTGGAGAAACCCCCTTCCAGAGTTTTTCAACCTTTTTGGTTTTTAATCTCACAACCCACTTGAGATAGTTAAACTTCTGCAGCCCACTTATGTTGGTTAAAAAAAGAGTAAAAAAAAAAAAAGAACATTCTGTTCTTTAAACTTCTTTCAAAAATAATTTAATTGATGATCTTTAAATTTTTTCACAGCACACCTAAGTACACCAGTTTTGTTTTGGAGTCAGAGCCTCATTTTGTCACCCTCAGTAGAGTGCTGCGACATCACAGCTCACAGCAAGCTCAAACTATTGGGCTTAAGTGATTCTCTTGCCTCAGCCTCCTAAGTAGCTGGGACTACAAGCCCCACCATAACACCTGGCTATTTTTTTTAGAAATGAAGTCTTGCTGTGGCTCAGGCTAGTCTCGAACTCCTGAGCTCAGACACTCCACCTGCCTTGGCCTCCCAGAGTGGTAGGATTACAGGCATGAGCCACCACACCCGGCCACTGAGTCCCTTTTTGGTGTTAAAACCCAATATCCTCAACATTATATTTCTACATAAAACAAGAAACCTATACATGTTTCTACTGAGAGATTTGGTGACCAAATTAGAGTTTGAGGAAGATTAATTTTAGGGATAAATAGAAAAGAACGAAAAATGGCCAAAATGTACTACAGTTGACCCTCAGTCTATACCGGGCTTACGGGTGCTGACAACCCCTAGTCCCTGCAATCAAAAATCTGCATATAGTTTTTGACTCTCCCCAAACTTAACTACTGTACTAATAGACTATGGTTGACCAGAAGCCTTACCAATAGCATAAACAGTCGATAAACACATATTTTTTATGTTCTATGTATTATACACTGTTTTATTTATTCTGACAGTAAAATAAGCTAGAGAAAATTTGTTATTAGGGAAATCATAAGAAAAGAAATACATATATTAATGACTAGGTAGAAGTAGATCATCATAAAAGACGATCCTCATCTTTACATTGAGTGGGCGGAGGGAGAGGGGAGAGAGGAGAGGTTGGTCTTGTCTCCGGGTGGCAGACACAGAAGGGGATCTGTGTGTAAATGGACCCATGAGGTTCAAACCTGTGTTGTTCAGAGATCAAATCTAGTTGGAACCTTAGCTCAAGGGAGCAACATGAGTCCTTAAATCAGGCAGTTGGTAATATGGGACCAGTATTCACAAGCACAATCACCTCATGCAATCAATTCTTGGGAGGTTATAAAACAAGTCCCCCAGGTCTAATATCTAAGAAAATCTCTAATCGTCTTCTGCAGCAATATTCCTGTTACTGATATTTTTTTCCTAAGGTATTGAGTTCATGTTTCTAGATGATCAAGCAAGTTGAGTCACTCTGGTATAGCGACGTGACGGAATTATGTTCATGTTCTTAACGTTGTTCAGCATAATTGACTCAGTCCATTCCCACCAGGTTCTTAAAGCAGGATTCTTTCGTGCTGAGCGGTAAATATATTTTAGCTATGTGTATTTGGACATAGTGACTAAAAAGAGCAATGAGCACAGTGTTGACCTTTCAGAGACAACAGCGTGGAGGTGGTGTCACACCCACACACAGTTACAACCTGGCAAACCCCATGGGGACTTGTCATCCCCGGTCCCACACCATGAGGAGCTGCATTCGCTATTTGAGTTTACCTGGGAATGGAGATTCTAACTAGCATCTTCCCAGCATTCACCCTTTGGTTAATTATTTCATTCATCAAACTTAGCGAGTGTGTACTATGTTCTAGTGATGGTGTTTGGGGCAGGAGAACAAAGAGGAGAAGGAAAGACTGCTCTTTGAACTCTCCAGTGGAGCTTTAAACAAAAAAGAATACTTGGCGCAGTGTAGACGTGGTATGCTAACAGTAAACACGGGGTGTGGTGAAGCCGGAGGTGCGAGGCCCAGATGAGCTTTGGGTGATCAGGACAGGCTTGAAAGAACCCCTCCTTAACTTGGGAATGTATTTTAAATATGCAACTTTGAAAAACAAAGAAACACGCCTCAGTAAACTGAAAGGGATGAATCTATTACTGGCTGGCAACACTGTATTTGCATGCAAGGCTGGGTGTTTCCTCCTCCTCAGCTCTAGATGTCTTTCACCTGGAGAAGTGAAAATGATTTGAAATCTATTTCGGTTTCTTTGTAAGTTTCTTTTTGAATGGAGACAGTGGCTATGTTGGCATATATTTCTACATTATCTACTTTATATGAACAATCGCGTTAGGGGAAATTTGAGAAAATCTTGTACATTTGGAAACTCAACTCCTGAAGGTCATAGGCCACATTACTGTGTATCAAAATGCCACAGCAGTGTAGACAGACAACGTGGCTGGTATCCTTGTTTCCTATAATGAGTGAGCAGGGAATTATTGGATGACAGGCTGATTACCTTAGGAATAGAATAATTTCCTAAATTGTGGGTCAGAAAGTGACCTTTTTTTTTGTCATTTGCAAACAACTGATATCTTGCTCCACTTTAATGATCATGTAAATGAGATGAAAGTGACTGTAGTTCTACTTACCGTATTAATTTTTATGCCACTTCTCGTCCTTACATAGCTAAGAGCTGCTTGGTTGTTCAAAATGGAGTTTGGGTGATGGTTTTCATCGTATGTTTTACAGAATGAGCTTTTTCTCTATGTTTCTGTATTTTTTTTTTTCTCTCCCTGTGTGTATTGTGACCTTGAAAGGTCACTCCTGTGTTTGGAAGGGATGAGACCATGACCTCAGCCACTGGAACAGTTTGCAATCATTTTAGTTTTAAGGAACCACAAACTCATCTTTAAGCCTCATGTACAACTTAGACGATATTAGTTGAAATCGTCATGCTTGTTAGAGATGCCCCTCACACACACATGCAAAGTGCAGCCCAATGTGTCATGTTGGAAATATCCAAGCCAATTACTTTACATACAGAGTGAGATGCTGCAGAAAATTCATCCAAGGAAGCCCTTTTCAGTACCTCTATTTTGAAAACGTTCTCTAT